AAGGTAATGAAATGAGTGTCACTGTATTGTCATTGGAGGAGATACTACAACCTATAGCTCCTACCATTGATGTTATCTTTGAAACGAGGACTGCACACTGACGGCATGGTAATACAGATCTACGATCTGTGAAGGAGATAATTCACAGTTGGCAAGAGTTCTTCTCTGAATCGAGTAGGGTGTGCAGGTGTTCGACTTCAGTGAATAAAAATTTCTCTTCATATCGGTTAATTAATTCCTTTGAATCAGGAATTCGCTTAATTCTAGTTCAGTACAGTAGATCGACAAACGGTCAGAAAATCGTTAACCTGAGGAGAGAATGGGTGGCCCGGTATTCTAATGCTTCTATATCGAATTAAAAGAATGTACGTCAGTGCTTCCTCATTCGGCTACCTAGTGGCTGCAGCTGGCCTTGACCCATTTGATGGTTAATTACGTAGTGCAGTAAGAGAAAGTTCAGCGAAAAACCTAGCTCTATGAGGGTGATCGCAGTATCAGCATGATTTTCACAATAAAAGTGTGAAAATATGAGAAATATTGTTAAAATTTCGTATCACTTCTCCGGATTTTATAACACTGTTACAGTATTTCTATTTTATTCACACATTAAGTTAAGTGGAAGCTATAAGAACATTCCTTTTAAAAAAAGCATTAAATACGGTTCATTTATACGCAAACCACGTTTATAATCAATGGGATGATTGATCAGAACCGATGTTTTCGCCCGAGTTTCATGGGCCTTCCTTTTTGTTGACTTTTTACTGACTTAAGAAGTTTTTCTGTTATTGACAGTAGCTGCAATGTATTGATCCTTTAAACAAAAATACTGTTTTTCAGCATAATCACAAACGCACCAACAAAACACTCCATCTTATGATCCTTCCTTATTCGACGTTCTTCCTTCCTCTTAGGATTTATCAATATAGCCTGCAAATCATTCTTGTATACTGTAAATAGGTGGCGGCGTCTCTTTTCTATCACATGGTACGATGTGACGGTATAGGCGTGCTTTGTGTTATAGTATCTTTATTGATTAGTAGTAATTTTTCGGTTTTTGGTTCAGACGTCTAACTGATCTTTCGTTAAAGCGCGTTTTCACTGAGTTTACCAATGGTTATGGCATCACGTAGCGTGAATCCCCCTCCCGACGACGACTCGTCATCAACGGAGAAAGAGGCAAGTGTGAATTGCGAAACAGACGAGGTGACGACGGTGTTTTGTGAAAATGTGGTTCCTGTTGTAGTGTCCATTGTGCATGGAACCTTTCGACCCGGACGACCTGAACTTTTATCCATGCAAATGCGAGTACCAGGTGCGTTTGTTTGGTTGTTTTTCGTTAACGCAAGTCACAACCGATCCGGCCCGGCCGATTGATGATTTGTCATTATTCGTCTTCTTTGTCCTTGGACTTGGATTTCATTTTAGATATGCCGATTCTGCTGGCATCGGATTCGAACGGACGAAAATGGCTTATGTCCGGCGTGCCGTCAGCCGTACCCTGAAGACCCGGTTGATTTTCGACCACTGTCGTCCGAAGAGCTGCTGAAGATGAAAAGTGACAAAAAGTTGAAAGAGCAGATTCGGAAACAGAAGATGTCTGAAAGCAGGAAGCATCTGGCTGCGTTGAGGTGTGCGTGTTTGTCGTGTGTTGTGCCCCCATCCCCCGGCCGATGGCATTTGCTGCCTATTATTATTACCCAGACGACCGTTCCTGTATTCCTTCTTTAGGGTTGTTCAGAAGAACCTGGTGTTCGTTGTCGGCCTACCGGCAAAAGTCGGCGAGCCGGAAATGCTGAAGAAGCACGAATATTTCGGCAAGTTCGGCAAGATTCACAAAGTCGTCGTCAACAGCAATCCTCAGCACTCATCGCAGGTGCGTAAATGAGTGAGGAAGCTCGCTCAGCTGCCGCTGACCGTGGCAGAAAACGCGAGCAAATAAATAGCCGACAAGACGACGAAAACCACATCGTTTTTTAGGGTTCCACCGTCAGCGCGTACGTCACCTACTGCCGAGTGGAAGATGCGCTGAAAGCCATCCAGGGGGTGAACAACGCTCAGATCGATGGTCGAACCGTCAAGGCGTGTCTCGGTACCACAAAGTACTGTGCTAACTTCCTTCGCAACCAACCTTGCCATAAACAGGTGATCGCTCGCTCATTGTACAGTCGTTACGTCCATTTGCGTCATCGTTGCGCTATCGTTGTTGTCCACCGAAACCTGTTTTTTTCGTTCTTTACTTCAACTTATTTATTTACACAAGTATCACCAGAGGATCCTGCAGCTTTTCAGTGTTTAAATAATTTAAAATGAATAATTGCTTTTTGAGGTATGTCTCTTTTCCCATCAAGTTATGTTCCACTGCTTAAATCGGCACAGTGGAAGTTGGAGAACTTCATGTAGTTTCCGGATTTATTTACTGCCCATCCATCCTTCCTTCCCGATTACATAATGAGCGGTTTAGACGCGGATATATATTTCTTTAGAAGTGTATGTATCGAGGTCTGTTTGCCTCTGAATACCACTGCGTTGTTAGTCAATTGTTTATCGTTCAAATAATTCACTTACCTTTCTACAACCTTGCCTGTTTCCCTTTACTTTGGACGTCGCCTGCGAGGCTCGATTTATTTGGAACTTTCTTCATTTTTAATTGGCAAGTGAATTGGGTGAGCGTTTACATGGTGAGATTTTCTCATCGTTCCTTCTGTCTTCTGAACGAATGATAGTCATACGGTAAACTGTACTCTAGAGGATGGATCATTAAATTCGGAGAGTACAGAATATGTTGTGTTTATAGAATATAGCATCGCTTCAGATAGTTGTTTTTGCCATTTTCTCTCGTAACAATGGAAGATTTGTGGTTGCTATTTTACATTTTCCTGGAGGCAGTAGGAAACTATGGACATCAGCCTAACATTATCCAAACTTGGTAACACGCTTCCACTGCGTTACATGTTACAGATGAACGATGTATTGTTTTTGTTGTTGGGAGCGGTAGTTATTACATTTGGGCTCGAAACGTGAGTCGTTGGACCGGAGGTTCTTCAGTTTGTTGTTCAGAATTAACGGCAGTTTTAAAGGTTACATGAATTTTAAATTTACTCGCTTATGCCTCAACCTCCCAATCAGTTCTTATCGTACATAATGTGAAGGAATTCGGTATCGATTGATCACCATTCACAGTTCAGAAATTATTTCTTTTCCTCCTGACTTTTCGATCTATACGTTTTGTAGTGATAGCTTATTCATTTTGTATTCCAGTTGAGTCTCATGCGATCGAGGTAAATTTTTAGCTTTTAATTTTTTTACAAAGTTGCAAATATTAAGACCTTCAGTTAAATGAAGATGCTGTTGTGTCGTCAGTTTTTGTTCTGCCCAGTCGCTGGTTAGTTGTGAAGATTCTAGACCAAAGTTGCTCAATCGGTACAGCTACAGACTCAGAACCTAGAGCTACGAAGACTGATAAATTGGTACCAATGTATTATGGAAATAGGAGACTACACACTATCCTGGGCACATTGCTGTAGACTCTGTTTTTAAAGTAAGGCACTCTTGGATGATTGCATATAGGAGGAGTTCATCGCTGCACCGTAAGTTTCATGAAATGAACGGTTCAACAGAACGTCACAAATCGTAAAAGTTTAAAGCAAAACCGACATCCTATACATGCGGGCAGGAGGGTAGAAAATATTCTAGTAACGAATAAAAGAAAAAATAAGTATTGACCAGATGATCATCTGGCGTTTTAGATTTATTTAAATTCTACGTTATTAGTAAGATGGTTTTTAGCGTATTTGCAGTGTCAGGCAGGAAAAACGAAACCGCTTTCCACCAGCTATGCTCTTTTCGTTTTAACATTATTACGGGATTTGTGAATTGTAGTGGAAATCGCCTGTGTCTGCTTGTTTACGCTATAGGACATATACAAGGTGAATCATCGTGCTATTTCGTTTTGATTGCAGCGAACTACGTTATTCAGCATGTATGACTACTTATACCTGAACTCCAATTTAGTAATAGCCAAGCTGCCCTGCTTTATACAAAAATAGTTTCTCGGCCTGGCACAGTCTTTGGGTCCAGACCCAGTTAAGCTTTAGGACCTTGTTGTGGATAAATCAGCTAGACGATTGGGGGTGAAAAGGCAGTGGTTAAATAGCGAACGACGTAATTCATTTTGGAAGCAGTCGATGTGTATTAGAGCGAAACAAAATGAGGAATTGTTTGGAATTGCTTTGTCTCCCTTTTCCACTGGATCACTGGTAAATGCCTCGTCACTTAACTGCGTAGTTTGAGCCAAACTTCGCCGACTGCAAAAACCGTTGTGCCCATTTTCGTTTTGTTAATACTAAAATTGAGCCATGTTGAAATCGGAAGACATCGGAATACCTGTAACTTCGTAAGAAATAATGGAACAAGCTAATTTCGTCAGTGTCGCTGGAATGAGCCGATGACATGGTTAATCCCAGTGATGAAATGTCACATAAAGAACCTCGGTTACACCGACCACGAAGCAGTAGGTTTATCGGATGAAATGTCACTTCTGACGTTTCGGTCGGTATTTCACGGTTTTTCTTCAAGAATTTGTAGTGGCCTTTCATTGGCAAAAATCCGTTCTCTGCAGCATGAGGTGAATTCCACCCATTCTGCTGATATATTAACTTTTCGGTGACAGGAGTCAGGAGGCTGATCAAGTTTGTTCAAGGGTAGTATTTATATTCACGGTTTAAACTTTCACCGACTCACACGTTCCTGTTCTGTCATGTGATTCATGATTCCCTGATACCGTTGAGCGATTCCCTTGCTCTTTTCACGTATTTACTTGACTTAGTAGTGGAAGGCGGAGGTATGGAGCTGTTTCGTTTAGGCATGCCGTTGCTTTTGTCTGTTAGCCATTATCCATTTCGTCTATCTTGACAGGTAGGTTTTTATATTGAGTGTTTGAGTGCTTCCATTTTCTCATATGTAAAACTGGCCAGATTTACTGAGCTATTTGTAATTCGAACTTCGAGAGTCCATATTCTCACCATTACTTTTTAAAACACTAAGTTTGTACGAACTTGCATATACATATTACGTTAATTTTATATTTGATATATAATCATTGTAACTTCTCTAACACTCTCAACTCTTGATAATAATGGACACTAATTGCTATCTCTGAAATAATTTTCTTTAACATTAATGGTATTGCAGTTTCCTGTACTGTTCATTGTTCTACGCTTCACAGCCGTGTTATCGATTTTAAAGTGGCAGTTATTTTTTTTAGATACGCTGAATAATATGTGTTATTTTTCCTTTAGAAACATTTTATTGCAGAGTTTCAAAGCTCTTTCTGTCAGCGTTGTAGCTCCCCCATCTTGAATAATTTGTGGTTATCTTCTTTATCCTACCGTATTCCCTTTAACAGTGGTCTACTGTAAGAGAAAACTGCCTTCACATTATTCGGTCGCTCCTTCCAGTTTCATAACATATTTTACCACATTACCTTATCTTTTCTTTCCCTTATCTATTTTTCCTTCATGCGCCGGTGTTTCGACCACATTTCCAACGCATACTTGGATCTTCTTTTCACGTGGCCGAAGCAACTGAGTTTGCGTTCGATAAGCTTTTCTGAAACTGGTGCTCACCCAAAGTGCTTCCTAGGTATTGCGGATGTGGTTCTTTTGGCTGGCCCCACACATATATTTAAATCATGTCATTTTTGCGGGGTTCAGCTGTTGCTTCTGTTTCTTCAGAGGTTCCGTACAAAAGCTCGTTCTGTAACCTTTCTTTTTAATTTGATGGCCGTCTTGTCACGTTTTACTACTCCCCTCACTTGTCTCCATTTGAGCGACGCTTTTTTCATCCGATTTCTTAATTCACTGTTTTTTTAATGTCGCCGAGATTGTTGAATTCTTGGGTGTTAAGGAGTATAACACCCACTGCTTTCACTGATTCTTTTTGTTTTCCTCACTAAAATCCTGCCATGTGTTCCGCCTTGCTTTTGCTCAGCCGAAGGCTGTTTTCTTCAATGACTGTTCTCTGTGTCTTGCCGTTTGCTTCTACTGTTTCTCTCCTTTCACTGCTCAGCGCTGTGATCCGCCTAGAGTGTGCAGTGGCGAATTTCTTCTCGCAGATTTTTGTGTCAGCTACCATCGAGAACAGACGTGGATTCGGTGCTAAACCTATAATACGTCGCTATGAGAATCAAAATTTAGATTGTATTACAGACTGTTACAGTTACCAGAGTTAATTATCAAAACATCCTGCAATGGTAAATTATTTTTTTTCAGTGGTGAATTTTCAAAATTTTTAAGATAAGCCATGGAGAAGGTGGAGGAATTTGTTTTTCAGCCTTTTTGGGGCAGATGATAAAATTTTTGTCTACTTGTTTTTTGAAGAAACTTTGGAACAAATAGGATTCCTATTCAAAGCAGGTTTTCTGCGTTTTATGAAAATTTCTACAAGTATTGGACAAGATGGATTGTCCATTAGTGTTCCTCAAACTCTTTGAACATTCTAAGAATATTTTGCTCTTACACTCAGGCGGTTATTAATTTTACATTATAATTTCATGTCAACCTAATATATTTTTGAGTGAATTGTAAGTTAGTGGAAACTTAGTGTTAATTATGTTAGTAAAGTCTATGAGAATACTAGTAAGTATCACAATTGTCCAAGTGCTCCATTCAGTTTGCTTAATTCGTTTTTGTTGAAGGGAAGAAATTCTTACTGCTTGGACGCTATCATACAGGGGGCGTTTTTTTCAGCATAATAAAATAGACTATGGGTTTACATAAAAAGAAAACAAAACAAAATAGAAACTGAAAGGCATGATCATCATGGCTAGAAAAACAAAATGTTACACTGAACGTCATTGAACAATGCTGCTTCCCTGCGTTGCAGTCTCTGAAAACGCATGGTTAGGCTTGGGTGAACGATCTTTTATGGAGCTATATCTGGGAGGCAGTATTAACAAATCTGGAACTGTTATGACAAAACGTTCATTTCGATTCGTAAACTCACAGACGAACTACTTACTGGTAAGTACCAGCTGCAAGCGTGACTACAGCAACTGCGAATGCCACCGCTCTGGTGTCTAATATAATTTCGGACATTGATGTCTACTTGCGTCTAAATAAGCGTTACTATGCGAATCTGACTACTTTTACAACATAACCTTAAAGAAACTTCCTTTGAGGTAGCCTTTATTTGAATGCCACCATTTCATAAAACTTTTTTCATGAGTGGGTAGGAACGATTACATTGTTCGCACGTGAATTCCAAGAGTTTCGAAATTGTGGATAATTGGATAGAAGTCAGACTTCGGATTTCGTTTGACCCAGTATCGTATCATCCCGCGTCGTTATTCACGCCAGTTCTAATCGACCGTCATATTTACTATTTAAAAACATTTCGATAGATCACAATTGTACTCGAACATTTTCATTTTATGGCGCGTCTGTCATTCTATTGTAGAAATGGCGAGTATTTCGTAGCATAGGCCATCGGCAACTGATTTCAGTTCAGATGTGTGTGGTTAAGCATATAATAATGACCGCGTACAACTTTTCTCAAGTTATTAGTAAATCCAGATTATTACAAATATTTTTGGTTACTTGAAACCGACCTGCAAGTAGTACTGAGTGTGAGCAGAGCGAAAGGAAGGAGCGATAATTTGAAATCTTTGAAACGTCAGTCTTCCTTACACTGTCACGAAGGAACTATTTCTCTCGGCCTTCAAACTTTTGAGCGTTGATTTCATTTCCATATCGTCAGTCAGAGTGCCATCTTTTTTAAATGCAGAGTCGAAAACAGCTATATAGCATACATGATGTGTTTTCCTCTGTTTTCTTCCCACAAAGAGATCATTTATCAACCTCAGATGGAAGAAGGCGAGGTATTTCACCAGAGTTCGAAGCTGGGGCCTGTTGGTTCTCAGCCCAATTTTCTAACGATCGAGCAACCGCGATCTGTCTTCAACATCCACGGAAAGCACCATTGTGACATCGAAACGGAAGGACAGAAAATACATAGGACTGATAATTAAAAGAATGGATTAAAAGATTTATTGCATTAAAAATAATGATGCCAGATTAATA